CTGATGTTGGACATTTTTTCATATGTTTAGTTGCTGTTTCTACTTCTTTGTCTGAGAAATGTCTGTTCATTTCAGATGCACATTTTTAGACTGGATCTTTAAATTTGGGAGGTCTGATTTTTAAAAATTCTTTATATATTCTAGATAGTAGACCTTTGTCTGAGGAACAGCTGGTAAAAAATCCCACCCCCCAAATTTTTTCCTCAGAAAATAAACATGGTTATTCATGTATCACTGTAATATGATGTCTTTAATTCACTCTTTGTTATTTAATTGGATAATTTAATTCATTTATATTCAAGATAATTACTGACAGGTAAGGATTTACTACTGCAGTTTGTTATATCTTCTCATTTTGTATACTCTTTCTTCTCTGTCTCTGTGATAGTGATTTTTCTTTAGTACTGCATTTTGATTCCTTATTCTTCATTTTTAGTGTATTAACTATAGCTTTTTATTTTGTAATTACCATGAGGCTTACCAAGGACATCTTATGGACATACCAGTTATAAACACTTAGTTTGATGGACTAAAAAGAACCTTTTATACTTTAACTCTTCTTCCTATATTTCAAATTTTTGATGTCATAATTTATATCATTTTATAACTTATATAATTATTAGTTATTATTTTAATGGTTTTGTCTTTTAGCCTTCATACTAAAGATACCCTATCCTCCCATTACCAAAGTACAGTGTTTGTACTTTCAAAATGACCCTCTTAAGTCCTGGGACCTACCTGGGTTCTACAACTTCCAAAGTGAACCCCGAGGCTCCCATAAATAGACATTTATGTATGAAAGCATAATTCTTGTGTTATAGGGGAATATGAGCGGGTGATCTCTTATTCTATCATCTTGAGGATGTCAATCCACATGATTCTAGTTTTTAAATTTTTTGCTTCATTTCTTTGAGGCACTTGATTGAGTTAGGAGGATTTTGCTACAGTCTCTGTTTTATAGCTATTTGAGGAAGAACCTCCATCATATGAACATAGTTTCCTTTAATGGCGATTCTGTACAGAAAGACTTTTTTTTGTGGGAGGGAAGTCTATTTTACATAGCAAAGTTTTTTGGTACCTTATACGATTCCTAGTTCAAGACTGCCCCCTTCTGTCAGAAAGTAAAGTTTTATATGTGTGTCCATGTCTTTTTTTTTTTTTTTTTTTTTTTTTTTTGGTACCGGGGATTGAACTCGAGACCTTGCACTTGTGAGGCAGGCGCCGGAACCACTGAGCTAAATCCCCGGCCCCGTGCATGTCTTTTTATACATGTGTAATTTTTACTTTTGAGAGGGATGAGAGAAGGGGTTTATGTGTTTGTCTTTTTTTTATGATGCTGCGGATTAAACCTAGAGCCTTCCATATGCTAGGCAAGCATTCCACCATTGAGCTGTACAGCTCCTTGTAATTCTGTCTCAGAAGGCACTTTCTCTCCTGTACCTTCTTTTCTTCCCTTCACCAACACAACTCCAAAAGACACCTTCTCTTTTCTACTCATCTCTTTCCTAGAATAGATGCCTTCTCCAAACTGCCACTTAAGGTCTTGTACACTTCTAAGTCTTTACCTTTAGTAATTTCTGTGATCTCTACCAGATCTTAGCTTTCTTTAGAGACTTTGCATTTATTGTGGGATAGTGTCTTTCTACTGGTTTTGTCAGACTTAGACCCCCCAACTCCTCTATCCTACTTTCCACCATTTTCTAAACTTCCGTAAATCTGAAACACCATAGAAGTTCTACTGAAATTTGGTATTTATTTCCTATTTTTAAAAAGTTGAAGTTCATCAATACAATAACATATTGCGTAACAACAGAGACATGTTCTGAGAAATGTTACTGTTTGGACATCATTGTTCAGAAATCACAGAATATACTTACACAAAACTAGATAGTACAGCCTACTACACATCTAGGCTATCAAATATAACATATAGCTCCAAGGCTACAAACCTATATGGAATGCTGTAGGAAACTGTAAATAGATGGATACAGTAGAGTAAAAATACAGTATAAAAGATTTTTTAAAAGCATGTGCAAGATCTTCAGTTATATCCCCAATACCAGGGGAAACAAAAAGATAAAAAGGATATACTCATACATGGTTCTTAACATTGTTCTGGGTGAATTATGAGTATCAAACATTAAATGTGTAGCCAGAGGACATCACTTTATAAATACTTTAGCAATACTAAATTTATATAAAATAATTTTCTTTCTTCCATAATTTACCTACTTTAATATTTTACTTTATAAAGTTCTAAAATTTTTTCAATCTTTTCAACTCTATTATAATAACACTTACTTAAAAACACAAACATTGTACAGATGTACAAAAATTTTTTTTATACCTTTATAACCTTTTTCTATTTTAAAATTTATTTCTTTAAATATCCATTTAGTTGTATTAGGGATCAAGCCCAGGGATTTCACACTGAGCTACATCCCCAGCCCTTTTTATTTTTATTTTGAGACAGGATTTCACTGAGTTGCTAAGATGCCCAGGCTGGGTTTGAACTTAATATCATCCTCCCTCCTCCTAGAGTGCTGAGATTACAGATGTGTACCACCACATGTGTAGCTCCTTTTAAACTTTTGTTAAAAATGAAGACACAAAAACACAAATCCATATAGGCTCACATAAGTTCAGGATCATAAGTATCACTGTTTTTCACCTCCATATCTTATACATGGTCTTCAGGGGCAATAACATACATAGGGCTATCATCTCCTATGATAACAAGGCCTTCTTATGGAATCCTCCTCAAGGATCTGCTTGTGGCTTTTTTACAATTAACTTTTGTATATATATTTAGAAGGTGGACACTCTAAAATAATAAGATGTATAGTATAGTAAATAAATAAGTAACATAGTCATTTATTATCAATAATGAATACAGCCATGTGTCACATAATAATGTTTTGACCAAACACGGACCACATATGTGACAGTGGTACCATAACATTATATTGCCTACTGACATGGTAGCTGTCTTGATTTGTATAAGAAAGTACCACACTGATGCTTGTACAACAGTAAAATTGCCTAACTATACATTTCTCAAAATGTATCCCTGATATTAAATAACTTAGGAGAGTATTATATACTGTACGTAATTGTATGGTTATACTTTTATACTACTGGCAGTACAGATTTGTTTACATTAACATCATCACAAACATGTGAGTAGTGCACTGCACTACAATGTAACAATGTCTGTATTACTAGATGATAAGAATTTTTCAGCTCCTTTATAATTTTATGGGATCACTGTAGTATATGTGGTTCATTATTGACTAAAATCTTGGTATGTGGTACATAATTTTATTCTTTCTCTTAAAAAGGCTAAAAGTAGGGCCAGGGATTTAGCTCAGTGGTTCCGCTGCCTGCCCCGCAAGCGCAAGGTCCCAAGTTCAATCCCCGGTACCAAAAAAAAAAAAAAAAAAAAGAAAAAGGCTAAAAGTGTGGGGTGTATGTAATTTCATTTGATTCCTTTCTTAATATGTATGTTTTTCTGGGAGAATGAGTGAACAAATTCTAAATCAAGAGACTACAACTATTTGAAGGCAACCTGGAAGTCCCTCAAGTCTTTTTATTATTGTTACTGATTGTGATTTGTCTGTATTTTATAAAGATCCTAAAACACTCAAAATATAAAGAAAAGGGTGAAGGTTATGGATGTTTTCCTTGAGATAAATCAAGTACCTCTATTAAAAGGTGATGCATATCAGTAATAGATTTAGAAGTCTCTCATATCCAATGATTAATGTAATTATGATAAAACCTGACACTATATACTAAAGCTTACCCTTTGTGGTAATTAGAAGTCCTTTCTGCCCATGTATAAATAAAACTCAAAATGAGCTAAAACAAAAGAAATTGTGCTTAGAATTATATAAAATAATGTTTAGAAAGTTAAATAAAATAAATAAACTAGAATCCACTTTTTTTGGCTGTTTACTACAATGATGCAAGAACATAACATAAGTAATTTCCCCACCTTAGGATCTGATAGTTGACTCATCATCCACCCACTATCTATTCAGGACCACTAAACTGCCAGATCACAGGAATACAAACAAGACACAGTCCCTACTTCACAGACTAGTAGAGAAATATGAGCAAGTTATAAAAGGTTAGACAGGGTATGGTATCTTCTCCAAAATTTTTAAACCATGTAAAATTACATTATATACCATATATTATTTCTTCCATATATATATGGTATATAATGTACATAATAAACAAAATAATGTGAGAAAATTACAGGGATTAAATTTAAATTTAGAACAGAGGTGAGCTCTTGCATAGGGGTAGCTGTGAGGCTGAAGGGGATAAAATCAGGCAGGGATACAAAGGGAGTTTCAGTTTTTTCTGCAGCACTATATATTTTCTTAAAATACAAAGTTAAGATCTGAAATAAATACTGTATTACAAACTGTTAAGATCTGAAAAGCCGGGTGGCAAGATGTGTGGGTACATTTTTATATTACTTCTTTTCTATACACTTAATTTGTGTGTGTGTGTGTGTGGTATTGGGGATTGAACCCGGTGTCTTCTTACTGAGCTACATTCCAATCCCCTTATCTATTTTTGACATAGGGTACTGATACGTTGTCCAGGCTGGGCTCAAAGATGCAATCTTCCTGCTTCAGCTTCCCAGAGTGCTGGGATTATAGGCATGCACCACTATGCCCAGATCAATATTCTGTAATTTAGGGCCAGGGATTTAGCTCAGTGGTGCCGCTGCTTGCCTCACAAGTATAAGGCCCCAAGTTTGATCCCCAGTACCAAAAAAACCAAATTCTGTAATTTAAAAAAACAAAACCTTATTCAAAGGACAATTCAATTCATTGGCACGATTTGTGGTGTTTCAGCGCTGAAGTTTCAAAATATGTTTAAGTTGTATAATAAACAATAAAATATTGAGATCTACTTTTAGAAACAAATGAGAAAAACAGCCCACCTGAACATCATGTTTTCAGATGAAGCATTATACATACCTGTGAGTGCTAAGTAAGCTGCAACATACCGCTTTTCCAGTCCATCTCTAACACTCTGAATTGCACCAAAAATTGGAGGTATGATCATAATTAGATTACTGACTGTATTCCCTTTAGAAGAAAAACAAAAGAACATATTTAAATTAATCAGTAACACTTTAAGTAAAGAGCCACTCATTTTGAACTTAATAATTAAACAGGTGACTTCTCAGAAGGGTGATATTGAGGTGCTGAAGAAAAATAATTCTACACTCAGCTAAAATGTCTTACAAGAACCCATGTAAAATAAAGATGCTTTCTGACAAATGAAAATAAGAATTTTCCACAGTATACCCAATAAAGAAAATTCTAAATTCTAAAAGCAAGCAAGAAAAAGATCAGAGAAGGGACTCCAGAGTTTTGGCAATGAATTGGAGAAGGCCACACCAATCCTACACCAAGGATGGTCCATAGTCCACAACAAGATACATATAGAACTCAGCCATTTTGTCTATGGAATTAAAAAGCAATAAATTGGAGTTTGTATTCTGTATATCTTTTTAAAATTTCATTTTTCTGATGTTTTTAATTTCCAGTAAAATATGAAAGGCAAAATCAAGATTACCTGATTTTTGCTTCCATCTTTACAAAAACAAAACTCAAAACATAAATAATAAAGGAATAATAAAAACCCCAGAAATAAGTAGGCAAAATGGGGAAAGAAACGGCTAAACAGTATTTTATAAATTTGAGGGTAAAATAAAGTGACACAGTAATTCCAAGTGATTTTCCACACAGGTGCTAATATCAAGACAATTTATCAATTGAGAGGGTGGAATAAAACATCTTCAAACAGTCAAGGAGTGAAAACATATACTTAACAATGTTTTTTCTAGAATCAACTAGAGAATTTAGAAAGCCAAAACAAGGAAATTAACCATGAGAAAAATGAGATCTAAGAAACAAGGGTTGCAACACAGGAAAGAGTAAAGGCCTAAAATTTTTACTATACAAAGGGACCAGAGACCATTCAGTCCAGACTAAAGGAGGATAACCAAGAACTACAGAAAATTTCCAAGAAGAAAAAGATCAGTTAAAGATTTAGACAAGCTGGGCATGGTGATGCACGCCTGTATCCCCAGGACATAGGAGGCCAAGGCAGGGGGATCTATGTGAGTTTGAGGCCAGCCTGAACTACATAGCTAGTGAGACCCTGTTTCAAAAAACCAAAAACCAACTAAACAAACAAAAAAGTAAGATACTGATAGGCATTTGATTGAAATATAGAAAATCTGTATAAGAACTTAGTCAAACAGGTCTTCATTATCAAGTATTTAGGTTATTTCCAGTTCTTACTATCACTTTAATGAGTAACCATATAAACAAAGTTGGTCTTCCATATCTGTGGATTCTAAATTGGTAGATTCAACTAACCATGGATTAAAACATGTTTTTAAAAAATTATGTCTGTACTAAATATATACAGACTTTTTTGTCATTATTTCTTAAACAACATAGTACATCTACTTACAAAGTATTTATGTAAGGTAATATACGTAATCTAGAGATAATTTAAAGTAGATGGCAGAATGTGCATAGGTTATATGCAATTATGCCATTTAATATAATGGATTTACACATATGCAGACTCAAGTATCCACCAGGGGTCCTGAATCAATCTCCCAGAAATAACGTGGGATTACTGTGTGTGTGTGTGTGTGTGTGTGTGTGTGTGTGTGTGTGTATTTTCATCTGTAAAATAAATTTCCAAAAGTGAGATTGCCAAGTCAAAGAGTAAATACATCTACTGGCCAAAAGTATTAAAAGAAAATATGAATTGTCCTTTCTCTTATGGGTGAAGATGGGGATCATTTTACATGTTTAAGGACTATTTGTACTTCTTTTCCTATAAATTAATATTCATTCATTTGCATGTTTCTATACTTTTTCTTCTTCTACATGAAGAAAGAACCCTTTGATATAGTCCTATGTAAAAGCTGCAAACTCTTCATTTCACCTTTGACATCTTTTGCTGTGAATAAATTTTTAATTTTTTTATGCAGCCGAATTTAGTCTTATAGCTTTGAGATTTCTGAGTTATAGTTTTAGAAAGGCCTTCCCCACTACAGAGTTATAGAATTTACCCACATTTTTCTTCTAGTGTTTTTCTAGCATCACTTTTTTAAAAATTTTAAACTCATTTGAAGTTTTTGCTGACATAAAGTATGAATATCATTTCAACTTTATCTTCTGTCCAGTGGCTACCAATTGTGCCAACATGATAAAAAGACAGGTTACTACAGAATATACTACTGGCTCAGGGGTGAACAGTACTTACATAGTTACTTATTTAATTTAAAAAATTATGCTCTTATTTTAATGAGAAAATATAGTGAGGGAAAGTAGATGGCATAAGAATGCTAAATCCCTAATCATCATAACTGGAAGAATATATTACATTTACAAATCAAAAGATAGTACTATGGGGGCAAGTTATTTAGAAATCTGGAGTCAAATTATATATATAAAAAAATCTAGGTGTTAAAGAATTATTGCTGAACTTTGCTTCAATCCAAGATGGAGAAACAGAGACCACATTTATTCTCCCATCTGAAAGAATAACAAAAACCACAAAACATATCAAACTGTTTCCAAAACAACAAACAGTAAGCATTGAAGTTATAGAGTTATCAATAGCTTTAAGTAAACCAGGGGGAGATTATAAAATTTTTATTAGTCATTTCCATATTGATAAGGATTATATATTTCATATTTACAAAGACTTACATTTTGTTCTATAAATCACAGATTTCATCCTTTTTAAAAAATAACTTTATTAAGCTACAATTCACATATCATATAATTATAAAAAAAGAATCTGGACCTCATGCTCACACTCCTCATACAAAAGTAAATTCCAGGCTGGGAATTTAGCTCAGTGATGCTGTGCCTGCCTTGCAAGTGTGATGTCCTGAGTTTGATCCCGGTACTGAAAATACAGAAAAAAATTTCAAATGTACTGGGGATCTAAGATAAAACGTAAAACAATATAACTTTTAGAAGAAAATACGGGAGAACATCTTCATGTGGTCAGCATTGCAATGGTTTTAAATAGGACATGAAATAATGATGAAGAGAGAAAAATGATAAATTAGTAAGGATAAAAAGTAATTTTTAAAAAGTAAAAGGCCAGGGATTTACCTCAGTGGTTCCGCTGCCTCCCTTGTAAGCACAAGGACCTGAGTTTGATCGCCAGTACCAAAAAAAAAAAAGTAGACTTAAAGAATAAGATAGGATTTGCTTTGTAAATAAGAGGGCATATAAATTATAGATAATTTACTTTCATTAAACAAAAATATTGTACATAAAATGACTGTGGACTTAAAACATTTGGTTAAAAAAATCATACCAGTTTCCAACCAGGAGAGATAAACCGCAGAGTAATTTGAATGGAAAAAGTTTACTATAAAGATTTATTCACTGGGTGCAGTAGTGCATGCCTTAATCCCAGCACTCAGAAGGCTGAGGCAGGGGACTCTCCATGAGTTCAAGGCTAGTCTGAACTACAGAGCAAGATCCTGCTTAAAAAAAAAAAGATTTACTGGACTAGGGTTGTTGCTCAGGGCTAGAGCACTTAGGCCTAACAATCACAAAGCACAACAAAAACAAAATACAGCGATAAGAAGGAATGAGAGTAATGAGGGATTAGAAGAAATAAAAAAGAACTCTGCAGAATAAAAGAATAGTAAGTATCAGGAGCAGCCACTATCCCTTCAGAGAACTAAATAAAAGAAAAGGCTCCCCTGAGATTCAGAACTTATTGGAGAAGGCAATGCTCATGTTCCACTGAGCACTGGAAAAGCTGTGATGCTATTCATATGGAAAAGTTTTAGATAACTTAATAGATTGAATATTAAGGTAGTAATATAGAAACAAAATAAGTAATGTGTTCTTTTAAGATTTGCTTTTCCCATAACTCCTTGTTTAAGGTGATGATTATCTGACTCTAACCAGTAACTTCATTAACCTAACAAAGTTACCATGCCAGGGTGAATTTACAATGTATATGTGCCTATCTTGTGTCTGTGACTTGTAAATAGAAACTGGAATTGTATTTACACATCAAAGACCACCAGGGATGAGATAATGGCTAAAAAGGATATAAAAAGGGAACCGCTGAATGAAAGGGGCAGCGGTTTCTGGTGTTCCCGCCCCATGGCGAGAAGAAATTTTATTATTTTATCCGAATTCTTTGTCTCTGTGTATTTCTTTCCGAGATTTCTGTAACACCATGTCTGCAGACTTGCTGAAAATCCACCCTTCAGAACATACTAGAAACATGCCCTCTACTGTGCCAGCAAAACTGATCACATGGAGGTATGACAAGAGAGGAAGCAAGCTGCTAGCTCTGGGAGCTGCTGACCAAACTTTTGGGACTGGGCACTCAGGAAGCCACATCTACTGTCGGAGTCATACTGTTAAGCTGCTCGGACTTCAGGAACCTGCACCCCAAATGCCACCAACTATCACACTAGACCAGGAAGGAAAACCCTTTCTTCTTGGAATACTGCTTTAGTGCCCTCTATGGTAAAATTTAACATTCCATTATCTTTCAAAGGAAATATTTAAAGATCCATTTTTTAGCACAGAGGAGGTTTCCGGGTCAGCGTGCCACGGCTCCCAGCACAGAGGAAGCTTCTGGGTAGGCCTGCCATGGCTTCCAGCGTGGAGACTTCCATGTAGGTGTGCTGCAGCTCACAGTGTAGAGGAGGCTTCCGGGCAGGCATGCCACAGCTCCTAGCACAGAGGAGGTGAGCCACAAGGGTGCCAGCAGCACCCCGTCCCCCTCATCAAAATGAGAAGACACATAAACAAGCCTCAGAACCAGACTTCCAGATCACCTACAGCAACCCCAAAGGGAAACAAGATTGAACACTATGATACTCAACCACCTGGACTAGCAACAAAAGAGGATCTGGAAACACTGAAATCAGAAATAATTTCTCACATAACAGCAAAGATTGTGCCTGTCAGGTAAAAGGGCCGAAGACCAAGACCAGACCAGGCCACAACAAGCCTTTATTAGGGGAATAGATCTGCCGGGCTGTCTCTGAACAAAGGAGAGACAAAAG